AGACAAGCGAAGACGAGAATCCTCGCGAGTTTCACCCGATCGTCACTGCAAATCGTTAAGAGGCATTAGCACACAACAACTTTGATTAGTTTCCAGATGCTTATTAATACGATGACACTCGAGAAAGATAAATGATGAATCTGATTATGTACAGACGCGTTGAAGTTACAACGATGTTCCTCGAAATACTGGAATTTTTATCAAGATGTTCGACAAATCTGAAGTTATACTCTTCGATCGTCCACCGAATTTACGAACGTTTTTCACCGTACCGCGTTCCGTGAATATTATTTTTATATTTATTCTCGCAATATGTGAGAATTGCAATCGCTTCAGACGCGCAACAGGCAGTGAAAGAATGTCGTTATTTCGAATTTCGAGCTACTACCGCTGAAGAAAGAAGACGAAAAGGGGAAAATAAATTTTAGTTTCTCAATGGGCGGACGTTGAAGTAAAATCGTACGTATTATAATCTTTGTAACTTCGACGTCGTCGCGTCGGTGTTTGCACAACCTACCATAACTTGAGATGGATTTTTCGAATATTCTCTCTGAGCTACGTATTCCGAATTCCAGAAAAGCGAAAACAAGGAGAGTCGTTGGACAAAAAGGCAGCACCATTTTAATCGCGCGGGGGACCGAGAGGCACACAACACAGAATACGCGTTAACCGTGTATTTTTAACGAAGCCAGTTACCGATTAAACGAACCGAGAACACGCGGCATCTATGACGAGATTGAGAAACGATCATCTTTATATGGAAATAAAATTTTTCTTTTTTAAATAAAACTGGCACTTGAAACTTCTTTTTTCTCGTCCCCCTCCCTTGTTTTCTTTGTTCGAACAAACACTTGGAAATCACAGATATTTATACATGCGATTTTTTTAATATTTAAGCCGCGCTCAAAACACGTGACACTATTCGTTCATACGCGTGTATCACTTATTTCTTTTATTTATTTAATATTTCTCGAAAAAGGAATTGCTTTGAAACACTGCACTTCTTACCAGTAATAGTAGATCGATCAGTCGATTATCTCACTTACTCGACGACGAAATCACAGACGAAAATCATTATATCTTTTCCTTCTTTCTTTTCTTTTTTTCCCCCCTTTTTTCTCATTAAATCACTGTTTCGTTATATTTTTCGTATTTTTTCTTTTTTTTTTTTTTATCGGAAACGGAGATTTCCTTCGTTTGATACAGAACGAATTCGAACGATCGAACGCGAAAGAATCGAATCGAAATTCTTCGAACCATTCGATCGAGGTATTCCCGGGAACGAGCGACGCGTCTACCTTCGATCGATCGCCAGACACGTGTTAGTGGATTTTTCGTTTTCTTTTTCCTTCCTTCCCTTTTTTTGTTTCTCTCAAATTATATACCGGGTCACGGTGACTTCGAGCACACAGAGAAAAGACAGAGAGTTATGGGGTTAGGCACTATTATCGCGACTATCAACTAGGAACCATCATCATCATCATTATCATCGTTATTTTTATCATGATCATTGTCACTGCAGCCATCACGCTTGTCAGTCGTGGGCTCGCGAACCTCATCGTATTTCTTGTCAGCCTCTTCAGCGAGGAACCTGGCCTCCTTCAGCTGATTCTCGAGGGCGTCCATACGCTCTTCATCGGCCAAGCTGCGATTCTCGAGAATCTTGCGGGCTCTTTAATAATTATCACAGA